ATTTAACTCGGCGTCCTAGTCCTTGGACGGCAGAGTTAAACCATGTGGCCTGTGCGTTTCGACCTCCTAGCGAACGCCTAATCTGGCGTCTCATCTTTAAGACGCAGAGTTTAGGTCCAAACGCAAGAGAACCTTGACGTTTCAACTCCGCAGCACGTGCCTAAACTCTGCGTCTCAATCAATAAGACGCGGAGTTAAGGCCCAGAACGCTGTTTTTCAGCGTTTGACTCGTTCAAACACTAAACAGTACTTGTTTCAAAAGCCCGTCTTCCCACGATGTAGGAAGCTGATTTGAAGAGGGGGCAGTTAGCACCCCACTCAGCCCATTAAGGAGATATTTTAAGGGCGGTTATACCCTTAATCCTATAATACCTCAAAAACTCAACGAGTTCGGGCTGGGATTTGGCTTGGGAGAGAAGGCTTCTTGGGCTTTTTGCTTTCGGGCTTGAATTGTTGGAGTTTTGAAGACTCAGGCCCAGGACTTCTTCCTTGGTTATTAAACGCGAACTTTCGTTCAAATGCAACTCTTTTCAAGAGTTAAAACTCAGAGTTACAACTCGATGCAGGGAGTTCAACCACTTGCTCTCATTCTTCTAAACTCGTCAGAGTTATCACCTCGTCAGCGTTCAAAAACTTGCTCTGGCAGTTTTCTCCAAAACCTCGTTCAGAGTTATCAACTCGTAAGAGTTATTTTCAACAACTTGCCACGGCAGTTCTCCACAGCGTCAAATCGTGAGGAGAAGACATCGTTCGCAGTGAATCAATGACGTTCAGATCGTCACGAGAAGCAAACTCGACGCGAGCATTCGGGGAGCATCTCATCGCCACCAGGTGAAGAACCCAGAATTAAACAAAGGGGAGAACAAATTCATTCTCGCTCTCTTTTGTAATCGAATCCAAATTGTAATCGATTTTGAGAGGAATACAAGTCAATTTTTCTTTCATTGTCTTTTTACTTCAAATTTCCAACAAACATGATATTCATCAAAAGTATTTTAATTTTTTATCAGATCATTTATCTCTCTTTACTGTTTATTGTCATGGCAATCTAATATTTATCTATTTACGACAAGAATTGTTATCGTTTCATTTCTATATAACCACAAGTTATAGCTTTCTAATTTAAATTTCTTGTTTTATTAACATTCTCAAAAAGTACTTATTTCAGTATTACAAAATGTAAATATTTTAATAGGGTTTTACATGAAAGCCATCTTAACTTTTCCCTAAATTGTAACATTTGTTTATTTATTTTTTGATGTAAATCACCTTAGTTTGCTTACACATTCTCAACATCAAAATTTTTGGTATTTTAAATTTTAAAAATATAGAATTACTAAAATCCCATCAATCTAACCAAGAAGGAAAAAAAGGAGAGAAGGAGAAAAGGAAGGCTAGATGAAGAGGAAAGTTGGCAGGGTTGGTGGCAAAAGAGGAGAGAAAGATGCCAGGTGCAAGGGTGGAGAAAGAGAATGATGGGAAGGAGGAGGGAGAGGCGGAGAAGGAGGAGGGAGAGAGGAAGGCGAGAATGTTGGAAAAGGGTTAGCATTTGGAGAAATTCTAAAAATGGAGGACATGATGGAGGAGGTGGAGGAGGATGGGGAGGGAAAAAGGAGAGCAAAGGAAAGGAAGGAGGTGGACATGTCATTGGTGGAGGAGGAGAAGAGGAGAAAAGAATATAGGGTCTGGAAAACCCTTAGAGATGGAGGAGATTGTGAAGGAGGTGGAGGAAGTAGAGGAGATGGAGAGGAGAGGGAAGAGATGAGGTGGGGGAGGACGGGAAGGGTGAGAGGGGAGGAAAGGGGGTGGGGAAGAGAGGAGAGAAGGAATAAGGTGGAGAGAGGAGAGGCGTAATGTGAGTATTTTTAAATTTTTTGGGCTTAATAGTGGCAAAAGTGTAATATTGAGAACATGTAAGCAAGCTTAGGTGGTTTTCATCAAAAAAAAAATAAAGATGGTAAGTTGCAATTTGGACAAATTTTTAGGTGATTTTTATGTAAAAACCCTATTTTTATAGTTGAGATGAATGCAAATTCTATTCAAAGTTATCTTAATATATAATAACTATTACAAAAAATTTCTACCTTAATTAGGCTAAAATTGGTATTTTTAAAGAATTTATAGAGATTAACATTTGTAACCCTTCTCTTTGTGCCAAACACAACAAAGTTAACATGTCATATTAACTATCTAACCCAAACAGAATTAATTTATCTTTAATCCTTCACGAAGGGTTAACTAAATTAAACCTTCTTCCCAATCTTTTTCTCTTAAACTCATGCCAAACGGCACCTTCGGGTTCAAATTGATACAATACGGGTATTTTCCAAAGAAATATCCAAAACTCAAATCTGACTGGCTGACTTAGTTTGGCAAGGGGTTAAGAGAAGAGGGTCAATGAGAAGGGTTAACTTAGTTAAACCATTATGAGAGGTTAAAATAATTGAAATCCATTTGGATCACATAGTTAATAGGAAGAGTTGACTTTTTTGTGTTTGGCAAATAAGGAAGGGTTATGCAGGTTACCTCTTCTGACTTTTTTAGGAATCCCAATTCTAACCCTAATAAAAGTATGAAATTTTTTCTAGTAATTATTATGTTAAAATAAATTCAACTAAAATTTGTATTCGTCTGAACTATAAAAATATCATCATTTTGTATTATTTGGTATTGATTGCTGAGAAAGCTAATAATAATCAATTTAAAGTAGAATTAAAGTTAATTTACTAAAAAAAATAAAAATTACATCAGCATGTTATCCAAAAAAAGACTAGAACCACTTGAAAAAGGAAATAAATGCACATGGTCCGAGTAAGAAAATGAAAATAAGAGAATAGGAGGTCTGAACTGAAATATTGGAATATTAAGCTATTAAATTTATAGCCACAACTAAGAGTAAGTCAAAGTATTACAATATTCAAATAGTCACCTTTCATTGTTTTACCATGCACAATTAAAATGTTAAATTAAACACTCTTCTCTCACGTAGCCAACATGAATCGAATTATGAAGTAGCCAGCTAGCTTTGAGCTATTGTCCTCCTAAAATGAGAAGGGTTAACTTTGGGAATTGTTAACCCGTTGAAATGACAGGTTATATAGTCGGTTAATGTTTAGCAGGTTAGTTAAGAGTTAAAAAAAAAGGCTTAGGAGTGGCTCGATTTCATCTAAACATTTGTGGATCACGGTTTGGTTCCATTCAAGACCCGACCCACTTAAATTTGGCGACGAGCCATCTTCTCGAAACCATGCTGAGAATTGCCGCAGCTTCGGGCGCTGCTATTTCAATCAAACGTGCGATGATCTCAGCGGCTCCACTGACCCTTCTTCATAAAACAAATCTCCTCAACAACCAGCTTCCTCCGATTTCACGACCCTCGCTTCTTTCGTCTCGCTGCTACGCTCGCATGGCTCGACGAAGCCCGCCAGCTGTTCGACCAAATGCCTACGTGAGCGAGGAATCTGAATCTGAAGAAGAGGAGAATGAGTTGGAGTTTGACGATGATGAAGACGACGAAGACGAAGAAGACGATGGAGAGGATTCCGAGGAGTGGGAAGGATTCGAGATGGACTTCGGCTCCGTCGGGAAGAAGGAGAATGTGTCGAACAAAGAAGAAAAGCCTTGATTTACCCTTTTTTTTTCTTTTTAAATAAAAACCTTTGTGTCGTGTTCTATTCGAGTGTATTTTTTTAATTAGTTAAAAAGTGCTTGTTCAGATGCCTGTTATTAGGGAGTGTGGTGCTCTTTCTGGAAGTAGCGTGACCGTGAGTTTCTTGCTTGCTAACTGAAATATACAGGAGCTAGTTCTTCTATCTATGCAATTCATACTGACAAATGATATCTTTGATTCTTCGTGCAATATTAAGCTTCATTTGAGATAGAGTTTCAGCTTTCGTGGAGATTTCTTTTCCTTCTCTTTTTTCTTTGATTGAAATTTGTACCCGAAGGATTATGTCGTATCCTATGTGGAATCATGAAGAAAATTGGAAAGATTTTACGACTATATGATCTTTGATCCTTCTCCTTTTCTTTTCCTTCTCTTTTCTATCAGAATTTTCCTTCTTTCTAACATGGTCAGGAATAATGTCGAAAAACAAGATTAATAGAAGGGTTTTTTTTTTTAATCCCTGAATCCAAGCTTTTACAGAACTTTATTTTTAAACTCATCCACTTTCAAATTTTCGCTTAGACTAATTACCCAAGAGTGAAATTCCTTTTAAAACTTGAGTTCAGTATAAATATATTTATACAGTGTATATCTTCTGAGAAACTTATATCACAAAATCAGTGTACATCTTCTGAGAAACTTATATCACAAAATTCCCTCGCCTTTTGTCATTCTCTCTTCCTCTACTACCTCCTGTCCATA